GACGTGCAGACACAGTCGTTCAAGAAGCACGCCGGAACGCAGAAGCATCGCCTCGCCATGTCCAAGCAGGACGATCTCCTACAACAGGCGTCTAACCAGCAGCGGATCGACATGCATCCCCGCGCGGCCGACGAAGAGAAGGAGCGAGTCATCGCGCTGCTCGACTCCCTCTACTTCTGCGCCAAGTGTAACGAACCCATGGAAACTTGGATTCGTTTGGTGCGATACCTCTCATCGCGCAGTTTCAAGGGCTTCCCGAAGTCTGCCTACGGCACGTACTATAACTGGTGAGAACTCCAGTGACTATGAACTTCGCTATGTTTCGTGTTTACATATGAAACTTACAACAACTTGCACTGTGCGTGTCATGTAACAGGTACGGCTTCGGCGAACTGACACAAGCGACGGCCACCTGGCTACAGACGACTCAACTCCAACACCTGCTGGCGAGTCCCTACATTGGCCTGAGCCTCGACGAAAGCACCGATCGCTGCCGTGGCAAGCACATGATCGTGTTTGCCACATTCATCCGGGAAGGGCGGCTTGTAACCGAGTACCTGGCTCTGTTGACGGTGGAGAAGGCGGATGCGGCATCGCTACTCGCCCTCTTGTTGTCCCATCTGCAGGCGATTGGCGTCGACCTCGGCCGCATCTCTGGCATTAGCACTGACGGCGCTGCCGTCATGATGGGAGCCCGCTCTGGACTTGTGGCCCGCCTTCGTCTTCGCGTTCCGCACCTTGTCTCTTGCCATTGCATTGCCCATCGGTTCGTCAACCATTTGGTGTGTGCATGTCATGTTTATTTGCTTGTTTTGTTTATGATTCCAATCACTAATTTGCTTCCTACATTGCATCTCATCCCCTTATCCCACGCAGAGAGGCGCTGGCGGCAAAGGCTGCTGCTGAGGAGATCCCTGTCTTCAGCATGGTTGACAACATCATTCGCGAGATCGCTGAGCTGCTCGGTCGCTCCAACCCTTGGCATCAACGATTCTTGGAGCTCCAGGAGGTGTTCATGTCGACGAACCTCGAGCTCCAGGGCATCCACAACATCCGCCGGCTGTCGCGCGGAGATGCTGTCATCCGCCTGGTCGAGGTCCTACCAGCCATCGTGGTCATGCTGCAGGAGTACGACGCCAAGCTGTACGCGCTCGTCACCAGTTACCGCTTCTGGCTCCTCCTGATGTTCCTCGCCGACGTGCTCGAGCTGCTGAACGTGCTCAACAAGGTCTTTCAGCAGCGGGAGGTAAATATGTTTTATGCTTGTGTTTGCAACTTTTCATGCATGTCGATATTGCTCGTCTCTGCCGCTCGTCCCTTAACCACACATCCCTCTGTGATGCCCTAGCTTTCCTCGCCCCCCTACCCACCAGCTGTACTATACAACGGTGCACGCGCAGATCATCCGCACGACCTCGCTGCTAGAGAGCCGCTACGTGGACTGCGGAGACGACTTCACCGGCGGGCCCAACGATCGATTAACGCGGTTCCTCGCCAAGCACGGGCCCGGCAAGTCCAAGCTAGTGACAGTGGAGGGGATTGACTCCGATGGCCGACCTTCACGGTTCACCTTCGAGCTGCACGAAGAGCCCCAAGAGGACTACCCGGGGCCCAGCGACCACGATGGGAGTGTCGTGGCGTGCATGGCTCTAGCGGAGGGCCTGGTCCGCAACCTCGACGAGCGCCTAGGCGATCTGCGGCAGCTGTCGGGAGCGCGCCTGTTCAGCGTCGACACATGGCCGCCCAACTGGGACCGACACGCACGGAGGACGCAGTGCCTCGAGTGGTTCAACTCGCTCGTGGTCATCTACCGCGCTGAAGACAGGGACGAAATTCTGCCAGGTAAATTTGTTTACTCCTTTCAGTATCCCTCTCGCAATGTATATGAAACAAGACACATGTCTTTTCGTAAACCCTGTGTAGTGATTCAGATAACCCAACCCTTTTCCGTTTCCTTGTGTTGTGTGCTCTTGTCTGATCAGGTATAGACAAGCGCAAAGCCCAGAGCGAGCTCCGCAACTTTGTTCCCGTCCTTGCTGCGCTTCCCAAGGCGGACAGGTCATTCCACGCGGGGCTGAGCGCCATGCTAAAGACGCAGGACTGGAGGGACAGCTACCCCAACCTGGTCAACTTGTGGGTGGCGGTGGCTGTCCTTCCGTTGAGCACTGTCGAGTGCGAGCGCGGGTTCTCCCGCCAGAACGTCATCAAGAGATGGCTGCGGGGGGCTCTCAAGGATACTAGGCTAGGAGATCTGATGTGCATGTCGCAGCTAGAGTATGACCCCGACTGGCAAGAGGTGGTCTCCATCTGGCGGGCTTATAAGAAGAGGAAGCCCCTTAGCAACGCCCTCCCCGAGTCTTGTAGCAGCAGGAAGGGAAAGGAGAAAGTAGATTATGATAATGATATGTCGATAGCACCGCAGCAAGATATGCAGGATATTGACTGATTCTGTGCATGTAGTGAATTGTAGTGTATTCTCTAATGAAGAACCATAAAAAAGGCTCATACAAAAGTTTGGTTATGACTCTGATTGGTCAGACAAAAAATTGAAGGCTACTCTGATTTTTCAGACTTTTTCAAGGAGGCAACTCTGACACCCATACCAAGGGAAGGCAGTGGACTCTGACAAATCAGACAGACCAAAAACCAATTTGGGGGCCTGATACTTGGTTTCCTCGCTTGCTCATGCCCTTATGGATTCTAGGGAGTGGGGAGCACTCACTGTGAGGGGTATGAAGTTGAGAGCAATCTTTAGTAATTGGTTCTTAGACTGGAGCAAGCAAAATGTATTCATATATAATTAGTTCCGTATGTGCTCTTAGACTCCAATCCCCTTTGTTGGAAATACCTCGAAGCGTTTCTGAAGTGTAACACTACACTCGAGGAAAGTCGTATCGGGTACGCGAGTTGTAAGGAATTTCCATTCCTTACTGAGTCGCCCGCTACCGCGTACACCCGAACACTTCGACTCGTCACGTTCGGCCTACATTTTCGACCCAACCCTTTCTCGAGTTGCGTCCGACAGTGTCGCCACATTGCCGAACCTACCCACGTCCCGAGGTTATCGCCATATTACGTCTACTCCTATATAACCTCGTGCTTTCATTGCAATAGCGACCTTGTATTTGCACGTTATAGTACATTGACATATTCTAAATCATAACAGCTGGTATCAGAGCCCGACCTTTCTCGGAACCTTCCGTTTCTCAGGTTACTTAGTTAAGGGTGGTCAGAGGGGATTAGCACCGCTGCACAGCAGTTGCCTTGGGTCATAAATATTTTTACGCCAACACTACAGCGTGTGCGCTAGCTTTTGCCCCGTCCTGACCGCCATGGCCCCGGTAGATTCGACGGTTGAGGAACATACGACCTCGACTGCTGCGAACCCTGCCTGGGAAACTGTGGACCTGCAAGCATTAATGGAGCCGTTGAATAATTTGACAAGCGTCGTCAACAACCTCCGCGATGAAAACCAACGACTTCGCCAGGCGCAGGAAAGGCGTTCAGAGGAGCCGGGCGACGATGCACGAAGCGAGGCGGGTGAGCAGCAACCGACACGAGTGGAACTGGCACAACTAGCAGCAACAGCCCCGCGCTCGACAAGTGGCGGCGTGAGATATCAGCAACTCGCTCCTTTCGACCCAGCTAATAAAGGCGTGACGGTGCGGCAGTGGATATTCGCCATGAATATCCTACTTTAACGCGGCGGGCATCCGAGACGATCAGAAGCGGAACAGCCACGCGTTGATACGACTGCAAGGGGCCGCCCTATAGTGGTGGAAGGTCATCGCGGGCTCAGCGGCAACTCGCACAGAAGGACAGCATGAGTGGTCCGAAGAATTCGGCGACGAAGACGAGGCAGATTTGCTGTTTGGTGCAACTCACATTTGCACGTGGGCAGCATGGTGCGCAGAGCTTCGCAAGCGGTTTGAGCATGCTCCTAACTCAGACAAAGCGCGCGTGACTCTACGCATGTGGAAGCAGCTGGGATCTGTGTCCAACTGCACCGTGTCATTCTTGACGTTGGTGGATCGATGCGGCTACATGCACGAGTTGGAGAAGGTCGACAGGTACATGGGCGGGCTGAAGCCTGAAATACAGTACCAAATAAAATTACAACGACCTGCGAAGCGGTTACAGGACTTCATCCAGCTCGCCGAAGCTGCTGATTCGCTCACGAAGTCGAGGACGAACTTCTACGACGGAGATCGCCCTCGAGAACAGTACCAGCGCGCCACGATAAAAGGGATGGACGCAGTGGATATTTACACAGTTGCTCCGCGAAATACGGGGCTATGCTACCACTGTGGCCGACCGGGTCACATCAAACGCAACTGCCAGGAATTCATAGCCATCCAGAATTCTATGGGGACGAAGTCGGAGGAGCGACCGGGAAATGGGTCGCGTCAGTAAGTACCGGGCCCCTTACTGACAGGCAGGCTTCTTCGCCCGAGCCACATAGTCCCCACCGGGTCGTGATCCCGATTGCTGCAATCGACCGGACTCGGACGAATAAGGGGGATGAAACTGCTGATCACCCTATATTGGTGGAGGGTAAAGTCAACGGGGTGTTGTTGAAAATATTAGTGGATGGAGGCACGAGTCACAGTCTCATACAGCTGGACAGGGCTAAAAAAATGGGTATCCCCTTACTAAAATGTCTACCGGAGATTGACGCACGACTGGTGGATGGAACACCATTGGCCATACGAGAGCGGGTGGAGCACGTCAGTTTCCATTGCGGCGAGCACGTAAAATTTCGGATGGGGCTGCTGGCGACTACACTCGACGGGTGCGACGTGCTGCTGGGACGGGACTGGCTGCGACAGTACAACCCAAGGATTGACTGGACGACGGGCAGCTGCAGCATAAAACTCGAGGGGATCTATCGCGAGTTACCGAAATGGACGGGACCCCACATGCGAAGTACCCACGTCCACGCGATCACTTTCAAACGCGCGATAAAAGCGGGGGTTGCAGCGTACGCCGTTGATCTTCGCGAGGTGACGTTGCCGACCACTGCCGAAGATATCGCGAAGCTGTGTGAAGCAGTTCCTCCAGATTTAGTGGACCTGATTCGAAAATACCCCGAGATTTTCCCGGACGACCTACCTGCAGGACTCCCGCCAAGCCGACCCGAAGACCACCGCATCGAGCTCGAACCAGGCGCACAACCGACAGTACAGCGACAATTTCGTCTCAGCCAACTAGAACTCGAAGAATTGCAGCAACACCTGGATTACCTTCTGACGAAGGGTTTTATCCGGCCCAGCACATCCCCATACGCCGCCCCGATACTGTTCACACCGAAAAAAGATGCATCGACTATACTGTACTGTCTATCATACGATTTTTTCGTTCCATGCCAACTAGCCACCATACTCCCCCAGTCCATCAGGTAGTCGAGCAGCGACACCGTCATCAAGTGGCCTAGCTTCGCATCACCGAGATTGCCGCGCTGCCAGCTTTTGATGACGTTCTGGCGGCTGAACCCGCGCTCACACTCCATTGTGCTAAGCGGCAGCATGGCGCAGGCAATCCAGATGAGAATCAAATTGGGGTAGGCAGTCATCCAGTCCGGCGTGGAGAGCATGTTCTTCAGCGCATCATGGAAGCCCAGGTCGTCGTTGTGTGTCGACATGATAATGGTGAAACTGACGAGCTCGGCCTTCGCCTTGCCCCAGTGGACACCTGAAGGGGGGGTGGAATAGAGGCACAGAAGCCTTCGTGAAGCATCTCAACAACCAGTAAACACCCGAGCCACGGAGACACTAACAACCCCCTAGAACTCACCCGGCAGACTGTCGGGCGCTGACGCATTACGCTTGTAGAGGCCGCACAGAGACTAGAGCCATTCGAGAAACTTCCGCTGGCGCCTCGCAGTGGACTTCGGGTACATCGTCTGCTTGAAAAGTCTTGTGCCGTTGAGCTTCGATAGATCCTTAAGGCGTCCTTGCAGGTGGTTGATGACACCGTTGACAACGTCCTGCTGTAGCGACTTCAGATCCCCGTTGCTCCGCTGCCCATCCAGCGGCTTTGTGTGTAGAGTGTACGTGTGCACAGTCGGTGCCCCGTGTGCGTCAATCCCCTCGATCGTCACGTCTCGCCCCCCGCGTACGGATGCAGAAAGTCGGCGAAGTCCCCCTCAGGTGGGTCGAACTGTGCGCTGTAATTGACGTAACGTGCGCGCAGTGTCACGACGGTGTTGTCGACCATCCGAAGAACCTGGGTGACGTCGACCTGCCATACATAGACAGAAAGGGGAGGTGGTTTTGCTCGTTAATCATCACTCCCCTAAATCGACGACATGACACCAACTGGCTTACCTGGCGACGCTGGAACTTGAGGTTGAGCGTGTTCAGCTCCCATAGCACATCCGCTAGAAAGTACAGTAAGAAATGAAACTTCAACAAGATAACTACGTGATACATCTTCCTATCATACTCGTACAGCAGGAGAATGGCCGGGGGGAACACATCAACAAGCCGCTGGATAGCCTCACCGCGACTAAGCCAACGTATCTGGTAGATGCCTTGCATTTCGAGGTTAGTTCCTTGAAACGGTTGTGGACGACGATGGACCGGCCGAGCACCTCAGCCAGTGACCGCACGACCTTGTCGACGATGCCTAAGTCTGGGAAATCATCTGCAGTGTCCTTGGCAGCAAGAGCCTCCCTGCAGGTTAACAGAAACACTTTATTAGTCTCGGAATAATCTATTAAAATATGCAATTTTTTGGAATGTCAGACTCACCTATGCGCGATGCAGTGGCAGGAAACCAGGTATGGAATACGGGTGCGCAGCCTAGCCACGAGACCTGCTTGCGCACCCGTCATCACACTAGCTCCATCGGTGCCGATGCCGCAAATCTTGTTGAGCTCGACGCCCTGAGACTCGAGGTGGGTGAGTAGAACGGCCTGCAGAGATGCGGCGTCGCACTTCTCGACGGTGAGATGCCCGAAGAACTCTGTCACCACCGTCGTGTCACGGAGGAAGGTAAGGTAAACAATCATATGTTTACCCCGCCGGCGGTCGGTTGACTCGTCGAGTTGGATGCCCACGAATGATGAAGCCCTGACGTGGGTCATTTGCTTGGCGCGCAGGTAAGTGACGATGTTGTTGACCACCTGATTGAAACCGTACCTGCGCGTGCATATTAGTACAGTGTCAGCCTTCTAGAAAGAACGTAACAAATCAACAGTATATCGGGTTGGTATCACGTAAAACACTTACTCGCTCTGGTAGGCACAGTTGTCCTTCACGGGTAAGTCTGGTGTTCCCTGCTCTGCCATGAACTTGACAAGTGACACAAACAACACAACGGGGGCGTCAGATTTGCAGAGGAACATCACAATCGCCATGAGTCGCTTCAGTCACTTTGCCTCATCGTCACCATTCTCAAAGTCGACGATGGACTTCTGCTTCGCATTCTTGCCATCCTTTTGCTCCTTCCGTGCCATCGCCGCCTCGTGCTTTTGACTGTGGTGGTGCTTGCGCATCGTCTGCTTCTGTATGTCGATGCCGCCTTCGCCGTTGCGCCCATACTGGTAGTTGGGGTCGTTGTTGTACCCCATACAGATGCTACACTTCATGCATGGACGCCCCTCAAAGGTCTCGGAAATTAGCAGCCATGGGAAATACCGCTGCCACTGCTCCTTAGCTTTCAACTGGAGCTCGGCGACTGTGAGGGGAAAGGGATCATCGTCGTCGTCGGAGTCGGCAGAAGATGCTTCGGCAGACCGGGATTGCACCTGGACAGAGGGTGTAGACTGAGCTACCGCTGGTCGGCCAAACGTAAGCTTGCGCTGTCGATACTTCTTGCCAGGAGCGCGGACTTGTAGGATAGGACCGCGCGTCACGCGTGAAGGGGAGACGGCTCGCACGGTTGAGCAGCCAGGTGTTGACGACGGGTTAGGTGATGTTGGAGCATCACATGTAGATTATTCTTTGTCAAAGAAAACCCACGGCTCGTCGTCTAACGGTGGGAGTGTCGACGGAGATGCCTCACCCACGGCTGCAACCGGAGCATCGCCGTTGACGGCTCGGTTCAGCGCACCAGTGAGGAGATCTAGACCACTAACAATCAGAGGGGTTGAGCCAGGGGGCTCCAAGCCTACAACTGTCTGCCTAACTGGGGAGGGGATCGACTGCGCTCTCTGTGACGCCATCGCTATCTAGCCACAGAGCTAGAGGGCGTCTAGGCAGGGTGTGAGCCGAGCAAGATTGGAGCCATGCTGAAGGGGCTGGAAGAACGAGGTGGAGCAGGACAAGTGGCTACGAGGCTCTCCCCTTGGTGCCTTTTCCTTCAGGCGCCTCGCTGAGCTGCAGCATGGCGAGCAAGGTTGCTGCATGGCTACGAAACAGCTCTGCATTGCTGGCTCGCGGTGGGTGGCTTCCAGGCCGCACCAGTGTGCGCTGGCACATTGCTGCCAGCTTCAAGATGCAAGGAAGCAGGCAGCCGTGCAAGTGACGCACTATCGGATGAGCGATTGGCAGCAACCTGAGTCAGGTTGCTGCCGATTTCATTTCGTGACTATGCGCTGGCCGTCGCGGCGCGCGTGGAAATAAATGCACCTGCCCAACAACCAGGACCAAGATGGCAGAGAGTGGGCAAGTGGGCAGGTGACCCACTGGCGCAATGGGATAATGGGCGATTGCTGTCAGACGAAATTATACGCGCTATCTGACATTTCAGAAGAAAAAATACACCAAGTCTGAACTTTCAGACGAAATCTTATGACTGAGATGGACAATCAGACGAAATAATTCACCCCGTCAAAAAATCAGATGAAAGCAAAAAAAGAGGTCTGATTTTCAGACCATCAGACGGATTTCGTCTGATATCTGAGACCCTGGTCGCAACCGGAGGTTGCGATTGACCGTTGCGACTACAAGGGTGTTAACCGAACAGACAATCAAGTCGCTGTGCGACTCGATAACTGTTCCTTCATCTATAGCCTACAACTGCTTCATTTATTATTTTCTATATATTGCTCTATGCTTGTTCCTTTTAATCAATCACTTGTTCTCACATACTTGTGCAAGGGTTCAACTACTCAACACTTCCGCTGCACTACTCAAGCATTTTGTACAAGTGGGACTTAGTCTCTGAAAAGGTCCTAAGGCTTTTTCTCAGCCCAACATGGTATGAGAGCTGGTCAGAGACGAAACTCGCATCGACAACATCCTATATACAGTCAGCATATCAAAAGCTTCATCGATCACAAGACATGGACAACAAGGGCAAAAAGTCTTCTACGGGCTCACCCAGTGCCCAAGCCACTCAACCCGGCACCTCTGGACTACACACCTCAGGACTACAAACCAAGACCGGCGCTGCTCAAGAAACAACAGGAAGAGTACCAGGAATCATCACCCCTTCACCCTCTTCAGGTGTGGACCCGAACCTTATGGAAAGGTTCTTCAGCTTCATGTCGCACTTCGAGCAGCAGCAGCAGACAGGGACACCTGCGCATTCAATACAGAGTAACAAAGGAAATACGGGGTTAGCACCGATGAGCCTCGACAACTCATCATTCGGGCGGCACAACCAGGCACCTACCTTTGCGCCTTATCACTCTTCACCAGGGACGTTCGAGTTCATGCCGCCCCGTGCTCAACCGACAGCAGCTGCATCACAACACACACCAAACGAAATATTAAGTCTCCAGGTGCAGTTTTCACGTGATCAAACTGCAGACATCTTCACCGTTCAACGGGCACGACTTCTTTACATGGAGCTTTGAGTTCGAGCTGCTGATGGAGGCCACGCACCTCTTGGGATACTTCAAAGGGTCCCTGGCATTTCCAAGCAATGGCACTGCAAAGGAGCAGGAAATCTTCACCTATCAGTCGCTGCTGACATACACAGTTCTCCTGCGAAACCTATCACCACAAGAGCAAAAGGGCATCAGAACGTATCGGAGCTACGGAAACTCCGCGGAGCTTGCCTGGCATCATCTGAAATGTCTCTATCAAGGAAATGACAGTGTGACACAAAGCAGACTCATGCAGCAGTTGACAACAATACAAATGAAGACCGGGGAAAGGCGATGCAGTATATGAGTCGCTGCCAGAAACTTCGCGACCCGCCAGCTTTGGTGCGGAGGCACAATCATTGAAGAAAGCTTCGTGACACTTGTTCTCGCCGGGCTCGGACCACAATGGAGAACCACCCGCTCGCTTTTTCGCGCCCACGGACGAATTTCTGAGATGCACCTCTGCGCCGAGCTTCATGCTGAACAACAGGAGATGGACCTGTTTGGAGAACGACAACCACGAAGCAAGCAGCAACCGTTAGTCTTCTACACTCAAAAGAAGAAACAACAACAATCACAACCGATACGACAAGCAGAACCGACACGACACCAGAGGCCTCACCATCGTGCCGCCGTTCTGCCACAACTGTCAGACATCCGGACAATCCAAGG